CTGCAGAAGGCGAAGCGAGGCAACCATGGGTTTCCTCGAGGGAACACGTGCAAGACAGTGAGAGAAGCAGAGGCTGCCGGGCTGGGCTGGGCAGGGAGGCAGGCGAACAGGGGCAGAATAGTCAAACTTAACGTCGAAGCGCGTGTGTGTGTGTGTGTACGCCTGCTAACCAATGAGTCAGACACAGTCATCAAAAAAGGCTAAGCCGGAACCTGAAGGGGATAGTCTAGCACGTTGCTGTGGCAATAAACAGCAGCAAGGAGCATATGGCGGCGGACTGCAGTCGCCGCTATACTATTTGATGAAATGACGTGAGGGCATCCTGATTAGAATGGCCAATTGCATATTTTAGCGGAGTAGGGGGCAGACATTGAAAACTGATCTATGTCTGCCTGGGCTGTCCGGGGAGACAAAACTTACAGCAATTAATACGCCTTTTAACAATTAGTCTTACGCATGGGGGTCGCATTTCTGGTTGGTTTGTAGTCAGTTGCCGAGCAGATTCAAGCTGGCATTAAGTTGAACTAGTTGGAGCAAAGATATAGAGAGTTCGGGACGAAAGCAGAATGTCCAGATTCCGTCTACGAAGCGGGATGAACCGGTCAAGCGCCATCCCAGTAAGAAGCTTTTTTGACAGCTGGTATTCAATGAGCCCGGCAAACCCAGGAGGGTGATCAAAAATGAAAAGTGATTTTGTTGATTTGTCAGATGATGATTAAACTATCTTCCCCCCGAGGTCGCCTTACGTTCTTATTCCACATATATATGTATGTGTCCTGTGCGTGTACGAACCATGCACAAGAAACCGATTTGTTACTGGAAGCTAAAAAGCAGTTGTTTGCAAGAGGAACGAGACAAGAGGTAGGCACTTAGTTTGGCGAAAAGAGGAAAACTCATTAAGGGGTGTCCGGTGGATATAACTGGCTTCAGGGATGGAAAAAACGGCAGAACATAGGTCCACTGTCAACTGGGCTTCTTTTTACACAAAATTGCAATCCCCACCGGACAGTTTCAGTGGGCACACAAAACGCTATTTGCGAATGACTGCTTGACTGTTTGATAAAAATAATTAGTTTAAAAAAGTGCTGGGAGTCCACTGTCTACCTGGTAAGGCATTTGACCGAACGTCCAATGGTCAGCTGACCAGTGCTGGAATCTTACGTCTCCCGAGTTCATGGCTTGGGAATGGCTGGGGGTTAGTGGTAACTACGTCGGATACGGCCAGTTCAGTCTCTCCAGTCTTTATTGGTAATCCATCTGCATAACGAAAAAGACTAACCTTTCCTCGCCCTCTCCTAGACTTGCTTATGCTACCTCTTTATTCATAGGCATGAATGTACTTTATTTCAAGGTGAACATAAATCGTGACTCTAATTCCCTCCTATAGAATAAAACCTGATGTATGTCGCTAATGTCTTATTGAGACGTTTAAAAATAGAGGAAGCTGTGATGGCAACCATACCTCAACCTTAGGCGGGGAAAAGCCGGAAGTTATAAAATCACCGTTGTAAACAACTCTCTCGACTAACGGAATTTTCGACACACCGTTTGACACATCAACAAAACTATTTAGTCAACTGAAAAGTTAACAGGTTATTCATTTTAATTCCGTATTCTGTCCTGAGACCAATACAGGTCTGTGAACGCTTCCCTTTTAAAACAAACAGACTACATACACTTAGGATAACCAAAATTTGGACAGTTATTAGTTGTTATTTTAGCTATCTTCCAGGCCGTATTGGAGTCAAAGTTAAAGGATGAACATGATCCGAAAATGCACATGTTTGGATGGATTTTGAAGGCAATTACGCCCGCATCGGACGCAAAGTATGCAAAGTACATGTGACTCTCCCCCTTTTAAACCGACCAGATAAAATTATGTGATTGTCCTAACTACGAGCCAATTGACTGGCGCTGCTCCGCCATTGGTCGATCCGCGAGCGGGTAGTTAGTAAAGCTAGATTTGATGTTTGGAATCTGTGGCCGTTAAACCTCGATATGAAGTCAAATGATTCGCAATGGCAGACGGCCGAGTCATTATTAAACGGAAAAAAAATCAAAAACAGCTTATCGGGGACGGCAGATGAAAAAAAAACCTCTTTAAAACAGGTCAGAAAAACCAAAGTTTCAGGTCACCCATAAAGAGACGTAGGGCCATGTGAAAGCTCGCCAAAAAAAGTTAACGAAAATGTCACAGTTCTGCAATATCCCAGGACAGGGGAGATAAAGATCGATTTGTACCAGCACGGTGATACGAGAAGAGCGTGTGGAAAAGAAAGGCCTTGTCACTATGCGAGGCATATTATCATAGCTACGGGAGATGTTGGAGGCAGCGAACGTGTCTAGCTGTGAACTGATGTACAGTGGAGCTTTGGGTGACGGGTAGCCCCATCAAAGAGAATTTTAAGTAACGGGCAAGCCACTAGCAAAAAAGTTGTTTTGATTGATAAGCCTCCGCTCAATTAACGAGTTATCAGTGCGTGTGTGCCTGTGTCCGCCGTTGACTTTTCCCCCGGTCGCCCGCAGCCAATCAGTGAAGTGAGGCAGTTTGATTGACTACGGAACGGATTAAACTCTTTAAACGAGGTCCCATTGTATATATGGATGATAAAACTGGTGGCAAGAGCTATATTATCTGCTCCAAGTTATCTTAATGAGTCAAAAATGACTAGATACTGTTTTACAAGGCGGATGGACAATTACCGGAGGTACAGTGTGAAAGCGAACAATCGTTTTCAACAGCAAATAAGTTTATTGCCTCGCAACTCCCACTTCAGGCACCTAACTTGAATCCCAATCAGGATCAATTTCACATAGTGGAGGCAAAGGGTTGGATATGGTAATGTGGTCCCACTTGGCGCAGGTGACTAAATCTGGAAGATGCCTTTTTCATGTGTTAACTTCAAAACCTTAACACGTACTCCAAATATCTTGACCATGACTTTACTCTTTACTCTTAACACTAGCCCTCCTGGAATGTAGCGAAAGGCTCTCGGAAATACAGAGAGTTCGTAGTTCCGTGGTCGATTGTCGAATCTTCCAAAAGTAAACATGAACTGAAAACGGTAGGATTTTAAGGTTTGTCAGTGCGCCAGCAGAAAATAAACTCAGCGGTAGGTAATTTTCAAAGGTTCTAAATTTTAGGAACTCCTACACTGCAAGGAAACTGCAAATAATTATTAAGACCCAGTATTACATTCGGGAATATGTTTCTTTGTCCAATTGCCCTTTTACCCTTCGAAGGGAGTAGGAATCGTATATAAACTACGGTTGAACGCCCATACAATTTGCCCGATTTGGGTATAAATACTCTCATATTCGAGCCAAACATCTGCAGTATGTTGTGGGAGAAAGCCAAGTAGGCCTAAATAGGCCTAGCTGTAAGTGGAGGAGATGGATGGCAAACGGTTCCGTAATCGCGTGTGAATGGACTCCGAATGTTTCTTTGCTCCCGGGTATTTCATTCCATTCAGACAATAATTTAAATGTGACAGCATAGTCATGGAGTTCAAGCGACGGTTTGAGTGTTTCGAAGGCTACTATAAAAGGGGCAGTATAGGGGTTCCAATAATGTACTAGTATCTATGAGCAGACCAGATTCCCAATTATGGTATTTACTTAACCAATCGGATTTTCTATTTGAAAAGACAGCAAGATCGATGTTTTGGTCAGTTTTGCATACGTCTTAGTCACGTTACTTCTACCTTCCTTCTATGCATCCGCTGTTTCAACAGAGCTCCAAACTCCAAAAGTTTTCGGGCATTTCCAACACGTGGCCTAACAGGTGACGGACATGAAATTTAGTCATCAGATTAACGCATCAAACACGCCCTTGGCTTACATTACTGCCCATTTCACTGCGAAACGGCAATACTCATTGATGATTTTCCAATGCTTGGAAGTGGTCGTCCACACATTCCCTTCTTGTGTACCTTCACTAGTTGGGGCATAATAAAGTGGTACAAAAAGTGCAAACATAGTAAGAGCATATAAATTATTTCACCTACCCGACTTGTATATTAGGATTCAAGCCTTCAAACAGCCTCGACTGCAGCTCTGTCTGAAGAATCATCCGTGGATCAAAGACCTCACCGGGGAGTTGAATGTCTCGTCGGTAGGTCAGTGCGAAACAGAGTTGGCTAAGTGTGAACAGAGTCCTATCACCCTGGGTCTGTTCGGCACGATCTCGGCGGAAACTCTCGGCGCCGGGCGTAATTTTGACAATCGGAGGTGCTCCCTTACCGCCTCCAGACCCTGTATTGGACGTCGAGTTCTTTGATCCCTGCCGCATTGTACCATAGCCGTTGTGATCAGCGGCGGACTTACTGGCCGCCTCGCGCTTCTTTCCTAACATCTCCTCAGGCAGCCAGGCCACAGCATTCTGTGGCGCCAATTGTTGAACCAAGGCGCAGATTTCGTCCATGCGGTTGAACAGACAGATGCAGATCGCATCCACGAGGTCAGAACAGAACTTCTTCGCCAGCGCCGCGGAGGTGCAGCCGATGGCAAAACGCTCTTTGGGGCACAAATCGTGTGAGGCTTGGCAAAAGTATGTACAAAGAGTGGGAAACACACCGGTGAATC